GAGGTTTGGCATGTGTACAATGGCTCTGATTCCGCAGTGTTAAACTCATGCAATATCACTTGATTTTCTATCCTTTTTTTACCCCTTTTTCTTTGTGCTTAGAACCAAAAACATTCTTCAAGAACTTAAGACTGTTAGCATGGTAACATTTCTAAATTTGCCAACACTAACATCTCTTGTCCATGGTGTTAGTACTTAGTTTGGCTCATGATTTGCATACCCTGTAATATTGGTGGTCTATCATCAATGTTCTCTCTTTGTGCTTGGCATGAGCTGTCCCATAGTCAACCCCTTTTTGGGCATTCTTTGTTTGTGCGAAGGAGCAAGAGGAAGAGAGAGAGGGGGGGGGGGGGGGAGCACATTTAGGTCTCCTTCATCATATTGACATTGGCTCAAACACGAATGCAGTTCATCAAATGTTTTTCCTTTCAGATCATGGTAAAGTATATCGCCGCAAATCTTATTGTAATAATCATGATGGAGACAATCTTATATTAGCGAAAATTCCAAAAAGAAAAAAAAAAGGAAAGAAAACATGATGAAGTTCTCAGTAGTGCTTTAAAACAGTCATATGAGGTTACAATAATGTACTGATATATTCATGCTACACCTTCATACCTCTCTCACTGTCAAGCAGCTTGTGCAACACTTTAAGAACCACACCATCAAAAAAAAAAAAAAATGTACAATTTAAGTTTATTTGTGAAGGAGAAAGTTCTCAACTCCCAAGGGTACTGAGACAAAATCATTAAGGGAGAAGACTACTCTTGTTTTGATAATTATTGATGCAGCATGGCTTTATTGTTGACCCCCCCTAATATGCCAACTTTTAATCACAGCAATGACACTGTTGATGAGAAGATATTTCTGTCTGGCCCTATATAGCTTTATTGGGGCATTCATTTCATTCTCATTCTAGGGTTATTGATTACATGTTGGTTGTCTGCTTGGAAATACTGTTAAACCTGTGGTTGAAGGGTGAGTAACTAATCAGTTTAATAAGGATATCACGTTATCATTGTCACGTGATATGAAAGAACGATAATAATATAACATCTAAGATAAATGAATCTTACAATATCAATGTATTTGTTATTTAATATTTAATAAAATAGTAAAATTCATAATACACGTATATCATGTACAATCATTAATTGATGATAGTACGTGTTACTGACAACGTTGTATCACCGGACTGACAAGTTATCTTGAATTCAAAATGAGCCGATGCTAGAATAGCCGTTTATCTGATGCATTAGCACTAAACCCTAGATTGGCCCATTAGGACTGACCCAATAGATTTTACACATGAGGTCCAGTTGAATGATTTATGTGTAAGGGTGATTATGGGCCGAATCGGGCTAGATCTGCAAATTTTTTTTGGGGTCGGGACTTGGGTAGTGTAGGCTCAAATTCTTCCTTAGGCGAGTTATCGGATAGGCCGGGCTTCAAATAAGAATAAACTACTTGCAGACCAACCCGTCACTCATTGGGCGGGCCTATTGAGCAGGCTTTTTTTTTTTATATATATATACAATTTTATTTAAAATATTTTCAACTTAATATTTTTTTAAATTAAAAGTAGGGTCAAAATAGACAAAAAATAAATAATTAATAATTTATTTAAATAAAATAGAGTCATATATTATCACCAAACTTTTAAAATTTTAACAGTAATATTACATTGATCAAATTTTGGGACTAAATTTAGAATCTAAATGACATGACAACTGATTTGGGTTTCTTTAATTAATGTCATGTCATTTAAACTCCAATAAAGACTCTAAATAATATGCAGCCATGTCAGTTGGGCTCTAAATTTGATCCCAAAATTTGGTCAGTGTATCATTACTCAAATTTTAATAATCAAGTTTTTTTCAAACAATAGAGTGGAAAGGTAGACGGACTAGATGGACAAGCTTGTAGCACTCCAAAACACACCTTGAACGGCATTACATTTTAAAATCATGAGAGCACTAATATAATCCCTTAAGAAACAAGACTTCATTTGTCATTCACGAATATTTACAATATTATCCAAAAGAATAAACTCAAGTCATGACTATTACATCTCAAAAATTAATTAAAGAAGCGCAGCGGAATAAACAAAAGAAGTTAGACTACACAACGTTATAAAAGAATGTCCTAGTCTAGTACAAAAGGAAAGGAGGTCGCTCTATGCGTCCACCTCGGGATCCACACTCCCGTCTAGTGGAGTCTCCTAAGTAGCGGGCTACTCGACCCTTACGTCCTCCTCCTCAAGTAGGTAATCTGAAAAATGTTAGCGATAGGGAGTGAGCACGAAGTTCTGTAGAAAAATTCTCTCAAACTCATACAAGGTTTAAAAAAGCATTTAAAATGGTCGATTTTAATTTTAACATAACATAGATACATAATTTGAAATAAAACAGTGATATTTAAAAAGGATCTCAAGTTTATTTAAAAATATTACTTAAATGAATAAACAAGCACCATATACAAATAATAACCATTAATTTTCATAACCAATTTCCAACAATTCTTTCGATAGGTGGCATATTTTGTGGTAACCTCCACCCCCTTTTAGGTTATCTTTGATTCTCAAGTATTTTTACCGGGAATCTCTTGGGAAATGGTGAGCATCCTTACACGGAACCTCTCATTCATGTGCATCACAAACAACTCAACCAAGCATACAATTTCAACATTTATCTCAATTTACAAGCATCTATCCAAAATCCCCAAAATATATCATGTAACAATTCCACAACCAACTAAGAAAAATACATGAGATCACAATATCATCATTTTTCTACCCAACACAAAGCACTAAGATTTTGAAATCCATAATAAAGAAAGCATTTAGAAAGAAAATAAATCACTCTCCAAAAATTAGGATTTTAAAACTAGAAAAGAGATTTCATGGGTATTAAATCATACTTTGTTCAAAACATGTAATCCTTACAAAAAGCCTAAGAGAAGATGATTCCATAGCATATATATATATCATTGATAGCCAAAACATACATATATAAATACCCTAACCTCAATGTAAGTAAATAAGAGAAAACCTTTATTTTGAATCCTTAGTTGGTAGGAAGAACTTGAGCTTTGATCTTGAATCTACCCTTAAATCTCTTATTTTTCCCTTCCTTTTTTTTCTCTTTAATGCTCTCTAGGGTTCCAAGAGGTGTGGGGTGAGAGTGGAGTGAAAGAAATGAGGGCAAATAGAATGAAAATGGGGTTTAAAACACCTCAGCCCTGAAATTCATTGTTCACAACCTATTTTCGTTTTCTCCAAAATTTTGATTTTGCCACTAAGAATCTCCAATTTGATCCATATGACTACTCTAAGATTTTTCAACGTTCCGAATTCATTTTTAATGTTATTTTAACCTAAAAACATTTATTTTTATGATTTATCTTAAAACCAAAGTCAACGTACACTCGAAACACTAAAGTTTCTATTTTTACCCATCCGAACCGGCTATTAACGAAGTTTTGCGTTGTTTGCAAATAAAAGGTGAAAAAGGATGCTTCTTAAAGTCTTTTATACTTATTTGAAGTTTAAATGTACTCATTATTCTTATATTTTGATTTAGGATGCAAATGAAGACATTAAATGCAAAACGAAACTAATTGGACTGTTTTGACATCGCTTCGTTATCTGGGCATAACTCTCTCATCCGAGCTCCGATTGTGATGATTCAAGATGCTATGGAATGATAAGAAAGATCTATAAAACTTTTATGTTTTGAGTTTTGAGAGATATTGACTGAATTAAGGTCTAAATCGGGCTTAAAGTTGCAGCCAATGCATTGTTCAAGCTAATTGGGTTGCTTTGACATCACTTCGTTATCTGGGCATAACTCTTTCATCCGAGCTTTGATTGAAATGATTCAAGATGCTATGAAATGCTAAGAAAGAGCTCTACAACTTTTATGTTTTGAGTTTTGAGAGATATTAACTGAATCAAGGTCGAAATCACGCTTGAAGTTGCAGCCAGTGCACTGTTAACGTCCTGTTTTATTCCAAATCCATCCCTAAGCCAACCAAATCCATCTCAAATCTCTCCAACACATATTTCTACACCAAACCTATTTAATAGAAGTTCTAGGACTTAAAATTTCATATTTTTACTTATTAAAACTAAATTTCAACTATTATTTTCACTAACATTTTAAATCTCTATTTTTTCAATCTACCAAATTCAAACACACATCACTACACATATCTATATTTTTACCACAATTATTTACTATATATTTATATATATATATAAAAGAAAATGCGAGGTGTTACAAAGCTCATAAGTTGGTTTTTGTAGGCAGGTTCTGGGCCAAGTTTCGGGCCGAATAATAAATTTTAGGGTAAGCTCAAGTTTTTTCTTAAAGGATATTAAGTTCGAATTCAGACGAGTCAACTATTAAGCTTATCGGATTTTGGACTTATTTTTTCAGACTAAATAATGGGATCCATGGACCGTGGACAACTAGACCCATGGACAGCCCTATTTATGGGGCATTACTTGGCCGGACCAGAAACTCATCTTGGGCCTTGTCAGGGCCACTAAATGTCGGATCGGATCAGCCCAATTAGGTAAGGTTGCCAGCCCCCTCGTTGTCCCTTACATGAAAAAACAGCAGCTTAGTTCAAATAAAACAAAAGAACGAAACAACTACTTGACATGAATTGGTCAAAAAAAAGACGGTCCGTTATCAATTCAATAATTATTAGAATTAAAATAATAAATAATTTTTTTATCAGATATTATTATAAAAAAAAGAAAATAGTAAGATTTAAATCTTCAATATTAATAGCAGGATGGTGCTATTAGATCAAATATTAGCTGCAATTAATAAATAAAATTAATAAATAATATTTAAATAATATTTTCCATAGTAATATATTTTTTAATTTAAAGGTTAGTGATTTAATCACACGCCTCGACTAAACTCCATGCTAATCTGATTAAAGACAAACTGTACACCCCTCGATTACATGCGGTAATTTCGAGATCAATGTTAAGCAGAAAAGACAATGGCTCATCTTGCAAAGTCCGTCACTTCGATGAAATTAGCTATGTCCTCTTCCCCTCAAATTCAACCATCACCAATCTCTCTGCAATGGAAGATAAAGATAACGTCATGGGAAAACTAATCATTCTCCTAATCGCCGTCGCGTCCGCCGGCTTCGTCGTTACTATCTACCACTGCATCACCGCGGGAAACCTCCGCTCTACATTACATTTACGCCACAGCGTTCCAGTATCGCCGCCTCGAATACCAGCGCCCGGAGGAGAGATTCAGAGCAGCTTCGAGAACTCCATGGCGGAGCTCATTCCGGCGCATAAGTTTCAGAGAGGAAAAGCGTCGATTGTCGGCGGAGAAGATGAGACTGTGTGTGCGGTTTGCTTGAGCGAGTTTGAGGAGGGAGAAGAGTTGCGGACGTTGCCGGAGTGCTTGCACTCTTTCCACGCGCCTTGTATTGATATGTGGTTCTACTCGCATGCCAATTGCCCGATGTGCCGCGCCGATGCTCTGCGTTCGCCGCTTGTGAATTTGTTGTTAGATCATAGTTTGGAAGGATCGGCGACCCAGCAGAGTCCTAATGTCTTGCCGATTTAAGTGTTCATAATTTGAGTCATATGATGGCGAAAAAGGTGAAAATGTCTGATCTAACGGGGACATTATATTATTAATGATATATGTTGTCATCAACGATAATAGAAAATATATTATTAAAAGTGTTCGAGTCGGTCTACATGTACTTTGACTAATTCTGTTCTTAGTTTGGTTGAAAGTAAAATATCCACGTCAGAAATAGGTTAATAAATCCTCGTAGCTTTGATGTAAGAGTTGTCAAGATTTAAACTTAAAACGTATGAATTTACAACTCGTCTTTATTACCACTTAAACTATCCCTAAAATTCTTGTAATAGAATATCAAGTGAGTATAATGGGTTTTGCTACTTTAATAACTACTAATAATTACTTTTATCTAATAACTATCATATTGAAATAGAGGAGTTCACCAATTTTATTTATTTTATGATTGATCGATTATATCACATGGTATTATTAATATAGTGTAAGTGTGTAACTATTACACTCAATATTTACTCGTGAAAAAGGGGTGCACGAATAGAGTTCGTATAATAGATGTGTCTAAATGAAATGATATTTTTACGATGTATAAGTGGTGGTAGCGTTTCAAAATTTATTTAGTTTATACTTAACATTCACATTTATAATCAGCTTGGTATTATGTTGAATTTCTATCATGGATAAGTTGGGTTCAATCTCTTTTAAAACAATTCGTCAAGGATCGTTTATTAAGCGAGTTTAACGGATGGATTAACATGTATATGACATAAATCCTTTCAAGTTAAAACCACACACACTCTCACACTAATTTATTGCCAATTTCAAATGTGCTTGAATGTAATGATTGCTTGAAAAGCCATCAGTCTTATGTATGCATTACATGGCTATGACTATTGTTATTTGAGTCTCATTATTATAATTAATTTAATAATTTATTGTTGTTAAATTGGCATTAGTTATCTACATATATTATTGGAGTGTATTAAATCAGAACATTAGTTGGTTGTTAAGTAACATTACGAATGTGCTATAGGTTGTTTAGGTGGTGTTTTCTTTACATTTATGGAATAATAATAATTTTATCTAATCACTGTGATCGAGGATTACCCTTCCAATGATAATATAGAAGATGTTCTTTGTCAAACGAAAAGCTGCTATGTATTAGATGAACAAAGTGATTCCTTAAATGAAGTGTAAGTGAAGTTATTCAATATGTATGTTGTTTCAATATGGTATTGTATTACTTTAATTGGTGTGATATGTTGCACTCATTGAGATTTGTCTTTAACTCCCGTGTAGTTATTAAACAGATTTTATCCACAGGAGTAACATGATTTGCTATTTGACTTTGGTAGAATTATGGTGACGAACTACTTTTCTGAGTTAATAGTTATGGTTCAAATCGAACATTCTACAGTGGGAGACCCATAATTATACCTACTGGTCGCCCCAGACCCAAAAAAAAAAAAAAGGTAATGTAAATGATAAGATTGTATGTAAAGCGAATGTTGTCTCAATATGTATGCTTTAATTAGTATGTGAGATGTAACGTTGGACTAAATTACACTAATGGTCCCTTTATTAGTATGTGTTTATGCCACTTTGGTTTGTTAAATTTAAAATTTATCTTTGAAAAAGACAAATGATTGATGATCTAACAATTGGTCTGTGACATATATTAGGGTATCTAATGAACGTTATGTGGATTATTTTTAAAGACTCGAGAATGCTCGATAACATTCAAAAAACATTCCTCTTTGTTTATTCAAATATTGTTCTTGTTTTGATTTTCTTTATAGACTAATGTTGAACAAATATGGTATGCCCTAGAAATTCGACATATCCTATATTCTACAAACTTATTTAACGAGGGAATAACCAATTCGGGCCTATCTTCGTCCGCAATACAAGGGCTTATAACCCACATGAGTTAATTTTAACACATCAAGGGTACGTTTATAGCGCGATCATGGAGACTATGGACCATAATCTTTAATGAGTATTTTTTATGTAGACCGTTAGATCATGATCTAACGGTTTCTAGGCAAAAATGCTCAAAATTAATTATGAAAACCTATCAAATTTAGTTATTCACTAAATAGGAAATATTTATGACATATTTATTGTAATCTAGTCCTTTTAGGAAAGTCTTAAAGGTTAATAATAAAAAAAAATTGGCTCCTTTTAAATATTAACAATTCGACCCAATGACCCAGATGATTTTTAATATTTAACCATATAATTTATTATACCTGTTTAGGTTAAAACAAATAAAAATATACAAAACGGGTTATATTTATTTATAATTTTTTGATCAAATTACCAAATAGTCAATCAAGTGACCAATTGATTAACTAAACTATTCAAAAGACTTAAAGTCCTGGTGGAGACAAGCCTGCAACAGGGATTGAATCATGATATAAGAAATTATCTTAACTAATGGATAGACGGCAATGTCGCAAAAACACCGCTAGTCTGCTACCAACTTTTGCGCCCAGTTAGGAGACATTTCCATATTCCTATTAGGAAATTCTTAAAAATTAATAATATAAAAAACTCTGACTCCTTTTAAATATTAATGGATCAACCTAATAACTAGATGATTTTTATTTTTATCTATCTAATTTATTATTCCCGTTTGGGTCATAGAAATATGATTGATTTATAGAAATATCCCCGAATATTTTATAAGATAAATTTTATCCACACCCTTATAAATAAACCTAACTTTAACAACACTCTCTCTTGATTCTAAAATTTCAATGCATTCCCTTTTAGTTCTATTATATTAACTTTTATTTTGATCAATTTAATATTTAATTTTATCAAATTAATTTTCTTTATTTAATTTAAACTAAATTAACATTTCATCTCATCAAATCAACACAAAATTAATATTTAATTTTATCAAATTAGCAATTAGTTATATTAATTTAATATTTCATTTCATCAAATTAATATTATTTCTTTAATTTAATATTAAGTTATTATTTATTTTTATCAGATTGACATTCAATTTTATTAAAATTAAACTATTTAATTTATTAAATAGTATATTAAATTTCATTAATTTAAAATTTAACTTTATCAAATTAATGTCATTTCTTTAATTTAACACCAAGTGAACATTCAATTTTATTAAAACAACATTCAAATTTATTCAATTAACATTAAATTCAATCAAATTAACGGTAAATTTTATCAAATTAAAACTAAATTAATATTTAAATTTATCAAAATTAAGATCAAATTTATTCAATTAATATTAAATTTTATCAAATAATTTTAAATTTTATAAATGAAGTATGATGTGTGAGGAGCAGTCGAGCGATATTGTAGAAGACATAGGATAGCAGAAGAATTAGAAATGGATGAGATTTTGACATTGACTTTATCGATTGTAATTTTTATTATAGAAAAATCATTTTTAACTATAAAAATTATTATGATAAAAAAATATAAAAATTATAAAAACTTGATTATGTAACCAAATGAGTGATAATATGATGTTTAATATTATAACAAAGTTATAATACAACATTTTAAAATAAAAAAATTCATTGAGATAATATAATGATTGAAATTACGTTTGTTGACTGGCTAGCGTATATATAATAGGGAAAAAATTGATGACATTTTAGTCTATTTATATAATAAAGGGTAATTTTAGTATTTTCACAAAATATTTAGTTAAATCATTATTTTATCTACTGATAGAGACAAAAGTTATTTTTATAGGAGTTGTCATTGAATTTAGACTCAACTATATGGTGTTTAAATTAAACTTTCTCTAGATATAACATGTAGATATAATATGTTTTCGATCTTTGTACTATATATATGTACAGTAAAGATGTGTGTGTGATATGGACAACAAAGATAAAGAGTAGCTGCATTAGAATAGAATTTTGGGGAGACATGTGTCTTAGTTTAAAAAGAGAATCATGAAAAATGAGAGTGTAAGAGACAATCAATGTCTTAGTATAGAAAGTGATCCCTTAACATAGGAAATAAAATCAGTGAAATAATGATAAGAGTTATAATTTGTATTTTAGAGAGAGAGAGTCAGAGTTAAGGAATGAGAAATTGCTTAATTGCCAGATTTAATTGGGTTGGCAAATTTAATGTAGGGGTATCAATTTTAAAGCCTAAAAATTTTGAGGGGAAAAATATTTTAAGAGTTAATGAGGTATGTTAGGTTGTAACGATCTGAGACATCAATAGCTTGAGACAGTTTGGAATAACGTCGTCTGTTGGATGATGTCTTTTTTGGTCAGGAAACGATCTCTGCTGCTCTTTATCTTTTAAATTCAAAATCGTTATATATATATATATAGTAATATTAAAAATAAAAAATAGTAACATTCAAATATAAAAAAAAATTATCATTTAAACACAAAAAATAATACCATTTAAACACAAAAAAATAGTAACATTTAAACATAAAAAAATAGTAACATTCAATTATAATATTTAAAAAAAATAAAAATAGTAACACGTTTAACAACAAAATATAACATGTTTAACAAAAATAGTAACATGCTTAATAAAAACAGTAACATGCTTAATAAAAAAAATAGCAATATGAAACATTTAACAAAATTGAAAATTAAAATAGTAACATTCAAACCGATAACTAGAGGAAGAAGCCTCCAATTTTTTAGTATCCAAAAAAGTAACACTGAAAAAGTAATAACATGCTCAATAAAAAAATAGTAACATGCTAAATTAGAAAAAATAGTAACATGGTCAACAAAAAATTAATAATATAAAACATTGAAAAAATTTGAAGATTAATTATCAAAAAAATAAAAATAAAATTGAGGATCAAACTAATAACACATTGAGCAAGTTTTTCAATCTTTTTCCCCCAAAACTAACGACATAGGAGTTCATGATAACCAGAACGCAGTAAAAGATCTGATAGTTGTTGATGATGTTTCAAATTCTACTAATTTTGATACTATGTAGGAAAAAATGATATCCATAAAGAATGATTTGTCGTACTATAGAGTGGCGATCTTCTTCTAACGAAAGAGAGAGAATATAAATTTAAATTTCAATTTAAGAGTAAATTAAGGGATAATAATTTTTAATTTAAGAAATTAATTTAAAACTATTTTCATGGTCTTTAAGGCAATGTTATCAGAACCAGACCAGACCGGTTGGTCGGACCGGTGCAACCTTGACCTGGGGTCTTAACTGGTCCAGTTCTTTAATTGGACCGCATAAGGAAGAGAACCGGCTAAAAATCGAAAAATCGGCCGATTTTTATAAAAAAATCGTAAACCGGCTGTTTTTATAAAAATCGGACAATTTGAAGACAAATAAAAAATTAAATGACTTAAATTACAATTGTTTTTATTTGGGCCATTTCTTTTGCCCTAAATTGCAACAACCACCACTCCATTCCCAGACGACCATCAGGAACTAGCGACTGCGACCAGCAACCAGGCTACCAGAAAGGAACTCAGGCGAGGCGACTGTGACCAGGCCTAGGCTTTAAAAAAAAAATTATTTTGGCAGGTCACTTTTTTTGTTTTTTGGTTAAATGGTTAGGATTGCTCAAACCCAGTCTAGTGAAAAACAGACTATCTACGTCGGAACTAGAGACTTCATGAGGGATAAATTTCTCATAATCTAATCTCAAAAAATTATTAAAATTCAAATTCAGGGCATTTGAATTCACATGTCGTCTTTGTTTCTAGTTGAACTACCTTTAGGATTAACGAGTCTCTTTCATTGATAGTGTTGATGTGATCTGCCAAATTTCAACTTGTATAATGATTTTTCATATCCTCTTGTTGCCAATTTGCAAATATTTCACTTTCATTTAGTTCCTTCTTTGACATGGACATTGAACATTGATTTGGCGTGGGTTGAAGGAAAAATGCTGTTATACATAGGTACATGATAAGAGAAGGGTATATGAGACCGAAAAAGTTACATAACAATAAAATTCATCTATTATGATCGAGATATCACATTTATGAAGTACGAAAACATTTTAAAATATGATACACAAGGCAAAGATATTTTTTGTACATGAACTTATCATTTTTGGCCTTCATTTTCCTGAACAAACATTTACATTTCTATAGTATAGTCATCAGAATCAGGTCGGACATCAAATCAGTAGAGGAATCGGATCAATAGTTCACTTGTTCAACTGATCGTATAATTAAAAAATAAAAAAATTATAAAATATAATAGTTTAGCTAAAAAAAATATGAAGAATGTCCACAAATGCATACAATTTGCCACCATACAAAGAAACTAATATAGTTTAACTAAATATTTGTTTCTATATATAATTATCAAATCACCAATTTTAACCATTATTGATGTTTGAATGAAATTACAAGCAATAATTACAACTTTTGAACACAAGGGATGAATAGAGAGTAGCATTACAGATTATTAAGTCTGTTGTACATGAAGACGCTTGAGAAAAAGAGTGGAATCCCAAACAGGAGAGAGAGAGAGAGAGAAGTTACAACATCGCCAGGAGAACGATTTGAGAGCAGAAGTGGACTGGAGAACTATGGATATTAGGGCAAAATTGGAGATTTCGGAAATTTTTTTAGAACAATTGACATTCGAATTGTGTGGTTTGATAAAAATCGTCAAGTTCATTAGTTTTATAATTTCTGAACGGTTTAATTGCACGGAAGATCCAATTTAAGAATCGGACCATTAAGGCTTTGATTTATCGGTCTAATCAATTGATTCGGTCCAATTCTGAAAAGATTGAAATAGTAATATCTAATTATGACATGTGACTAGACCCATTTTTCATCGGGAATGCTCAACCGAAAAAGGTTTAAAAAGGATAATTATAATTTACAACCTTCACGTATGTGTGAAATTTTAATTTGGCCCCTAAAGTTTAAATTAGAATAATCAAGTTCTTAAAATTTTAATGAAGTTTCTATTCAATCCTTACATCTCAATTTGTTAAATTGTTCGATGAGATAGAAGCAAGTGACAAATATGTGATATATTTAGAGTGGTATGTTTGTTCTACCAAAACGATAATAACATCGTCTAATGATTATTAACTCTTATGTTATGCCTTGACAAACCAAAAAAGGGATTATTTTAGGATGTTTAGGATTGATCCTAATATTTTAAAATATTTCAAGAACGATTTTAATATTTTGGCTTGATTCCAAAAGCTTGGATTGATTCTCAAACACCATCAACGTATTACAACTTTAAACCAAAACGATGTAAATTAACATCATATGTTAGTATTTAGGGTAAATTTTATTCGCTACATGTGGATAAATCTAACTTCAATAATACCTCTTTCTTTTTCTGAAATGTCACTTACACCACAAGGTGATCCACACTTGCATGACATCATCATTTTTGGTTTGTAACTAAGATTCACGATAAAGGGTTAGTTTGTTAGTAATGGAGATTCACAATTCGGGGGACGGGGGGCGGGGCGGTTGAAGTGAACATATGAACTAGAAGAAAATACAATAAAATTGTAGAAAAAGAAAAGGGTGTCGTTAAAATTAGACTTATATATAGGAGGTGTGAATAAAATTTATGTCCTTTCTAATAATTCCACACTAGAATTTTATAGTATTAAGAATTTTATTTTAAAAAAAAAGAAGAAGAAGAGCTTAAGGTGCAATGTAAAAAATATTAAGAATTTAGGGGCTAATGTGAAATAATGGTTATAATTAAATTCAGGGAAAAAAATAATATTTTTATGACACTTCTCTTTTTTTTCTTTTTTTTTGTATGTGATCCCATGTGAGCATCTTTTTATGACACTTCTCTCGAAAGATGTGACCTCCCAGCCATAAAATAGACATGGATCTGCCGACTTTTTGCCCTGCCTTGTCCACTCTGTCATTAGCGAGTGTCACGTTGTTTTTTGGGTTCATTAAAGATACCATCTTTTCTTTGTAAACCGAATTTGGACATTTTGTGGTTCAAGCTATTTTTTTTACACTAAAAACGTGAGATTTTGCACATTTAGGTGGTTAGTTTGTGGGATATGGGTAGGATGAACAATGGAACCGACTTATTTGAATCATAATTCAAATGAGTCAAGTTTTATTTGACTCAATATTTTTTAAGACGATATCGTTATATGATACGTATAAACTTTGAGTCTCGCGAAATTTAATCGAGTCATCTGAATTGAATTCAAGTCAATCACGAGTCACCAAATTATCGTCATCAAATCGGTCGATACGATTCCGCGACGTCGTAATACAAATTTAAATCTCTTATCATGTTCAACATTTTTTTTAGATTACGTCGATGTGTCTCATAACCTCGGAGTTAATAGTCGATACCACGACCTTGAACTATGACTCGAGTTCGGTTTAGGTTTGACTCGTTTTGGGTTCGATTTATTTTTTAAACAATTTTTTATGCTCGTTTAGAAAAATGAATCTAAAGGCTTGACTCTTTTATATGTAAAACAGTTAAAGCTACTCGGGCACGGTTCGTTTTATAAACAATTTTTTAAGCTCGTTTAAAAAAATGAGCTCGATAAATTCGGCTTGAGTTTGTAATGTTCAACTCGATTACCAATCCTAGATATGACTACAATACCAAAAAAAAAAAAATAGTACCATATTAAATATGATTTATAGATTGAGATTTAAATTAAATGATTTATAGATGTAGATAGTGATTTAATTTATTTGTAGTCATTGATTATAAAATAAAATAAAATTACTTGAAGGACTCGTTTGGTAATGTTTACGGTTTTTGATTTTCTAAAAAACAAAAAACAGAATCGAAAAACGAAAAACGTATTTTTCTCATTTTTAAAAATCGTCTCTCGTTTACAAAACGATGGCAGAAAAAAAAAATAGTTATCAAACGAGTTTTTTTTTTGTTTTTTCTAAATATCAAAATAAAAACGAAAAATAAAATATAAATGTTATCAAACGGGACCGGGTGTTACATTTTAATAGACGAAAAGTAAAGGTATTACAGTACAAAGGTTCAAATATGGGATTATGAGCTTCAAAATCATACCTCATGACTCAAGAATGTGATTTTCAGTAAAAAAAAAAAAAAAAGAGGGCTCTTTTCTCTGTTTACTTTATTGGTTTTTGGAACTGCGGAAACCTGATAATGTTGGGATATATTATGGTAGTGGCTTTTGGTAAAGGGAAGCCAGGCGCCAGGTGTTTGTCTTGAGTTCCAGTCCAAAGTTTCAACCTCTCTGGTTCTTGGGTTATGTTCTCTGACTCTTTACAAGGAGCACCCAGTAAGATTTTCCTTCACTTTCTTGGGGGGTTTTGTTATTTTCCACAATTTTGAAGTAGTTTATGGTAAGCTCATTAATTTGCGGTTGAGGTAGCTCGGTGGCAGTTTGAGAAATTGAGGCAGTTTTTAGTAATATATTAGTTGTTTCCTCTGATGTGATACAGGTACAAAGATGAGTTCTTTGAGAAGTATAGAACTTGGTTATGGGTGTGTGTATCTCATTAGCTTTACCCCGTAAGAATTTTCCTTCACTTTCTTGGGGTTTTGATGCAGTCCACTAGTTTGAAGTAGATTACAGTAAGTTTAATAACTTTGGCCTTGAAAATTTCTCACTGACAATTTTGAATTTGAGGCAATTTTAAGGTAAGGTATCAGTTGTTTCCTCGGATTTGATACAGATGCAAATATGAGATCTTTCAGTAATTTAGGACTTGGCTTGAGCCTAGTTTTTGGGTGCCTTTTCTTAGCTCTTATTGCAGAGCTTTACTACTTGTTATGGTGGAAGAGAAGGATCACCAACAGAGAGATTGAAGATGATTACAGCAGTCCAGCAAGAGAGTTCATGTACAGGTTTTGTTGGAAAAAGCCATTATGTTTAAGCTCTGTAGCTCTGAACCCCCAAGAATTGTGTTCTTCTGTTAGAATTATAGACAGCCATGTCCATGAACCACAAGCTCAGCTCCATTTAAACAAGGACTTGTGGTTCAGGCCATTTGGAGAGGATAATGAGGAAATTGAACTCATGAGGCTGCAAAACCTCCAAGGGCCACCAAGATTTCTCTTCACTATAAAAGAAGAAACAAAGGAAGATTTGGAGTCTGAGGACGGGAAGTCTGGAGGTGATAAGAGTAGAAAAGGGTCAAGAAGTAGGAGCTTGAGTGATCTAGCTCTCACAGTGGAGACACCATATTTGACCCCTCTTGCTTCACCACCATATTTCACACCACCACTAAGCCCCATGGAGTCCTCCTCATATAACCAGCAAGGCTTCAATCCTCTATTTGAGTCATCAACTAATGTTGAGTTTAACAGGATAAAGTCATCACCACCTCCAAAGTTCAAGTTCTTGAGGGATGCTGAGGACAAACTTCATAGAAGAAAACTGATGGAAGAAGAAGCTAAACAAGCTATCCATAAGGGTGAAGGGTCTAAAGCTCCTTCCAATTCAATGTTCTTCAATGATGAGGAAAATGGGTCTTTTATCACATTCATTGTTGCAAAGACCAAAGAGAGAGAGCTTAATCACCATCAAATTTCAAAACAGTACCCTTCAAGCTCTTCACAGGTACTCCCTCTAGCTTCTTCACCTTCAAATTTCAGAGCAACAACTGACAAAAAACCCATCTTGCATCAAAGTCCCAACAAATAAATTGGAATTGGTTACAATTCTTTTCATTTACTTTCTCCTTTTTCCTTTTTTCCTATTTCTTTGCTCGATTTCACTAGATATTTTCACTTTTAGGACATGGGCATTTCTTATTTTCACTAGGGGGTGTTCAGGACTGAAGTTATTGACAGAACACTTGAATTTCCAAGTGGGCACAACAATCTGTGCAAGGCTGTTAATGATGTTGAGACAGAGGTGGTGGTCTAATGCCAGTGGGGGACTAGTGGGTTAATTTGTTTTTATTCAATCTTCATGTCTCCTGACTTGTCCTATATACATGTAATCATTCCTATGGATGATGTAGTACTGATGTTCAGCTTATTGAAAAAAGGGCATTTTTAAATTAAATTAGTAAAGTTCTTTCTTTCCTGTCCTTTTCCTTTGATGATTCTTTTAATTTTGGTCAGGTCCTATGATGATTCTGAGATGTAAATAAATTAGCATTTGCTGCCAACTCATGATCTTGAATCATAGAGTATTTGCTAAAGTGACTAGTAAAATTATACGAGGCTAATGTCATGTTTATTAAATTTTTTTTTATTAAATTTCTATTTCAAATGATGTAACATAACTTTTTAAAAAATTTGATAAAATTTTTTTAGTAAGCATAACATGTTCTATTACATAAAGATCCTGAGTTGGCACTTATTTTTCTTTTCTTTTTTAATTTTCACAAGTGTCCCTTTAAAGGCTTATCCAAAAGATTTTTTTACCGTTGATTTACTCGAACCAAGATATCTCAAGTGATAACAGATACGAGTTGTAAACTCAATTCGATGTCAATGACTTATTTTTAATTGGACCGAAAAAGGAGGAATTAGTTGATGTGCTCAAACTGGCCCGGACACCCTAGCCATTAGAAAAAAAAATCCTTCTATCCATCAATGTTTGGCCGTTGGATCATCAAACCAAAAGTGTGGTGATTAATCTTGGGCGCCTTTTACCTCTATCGACCAATTGGAGTGGACCAGAAGGGTAATACACTCTTCATATATAGTAATCTCCTTCCTTACATTTGGAAAAACTGTGTTGGACTTTTTGTGTGTGTGTGTGTGTTTTTTTTTTTTGGGGGGTGGGGGTGGTTTGACAAAGTTGCTAGAAAGAGTTATGAGTTTGTGGACAGGCTGATGCTTTGGCATTTCCCTACATTACAAGGACTGTAATGCCCGTGATAGTATCTCGTGGTTATAGGCCGAAAGGTATCTTTCTCAAGTGTTGTCTTTTGGGAACTATTTCAACTAATAAATGATGGGAATCAGTGGTTGAAGACCACGAGGTAGAGAAATTAGAAGCACAATATCCAAATAAACTGGAACATTGCGGGTTCGAATCCTTGAATCTCCTCCTTAACATGAGGTAAACTAACACGACAAAAGGAATTGTTATATTTTCAAGCTTCACCTTCAACAAGCATAGATTTATTTCCAATCCGTGTAATAGGCAACCATTTCGTGCAGGGGACACTTGAATCAGCCGCCAGTGCCCTACAGAGTCTTTACCCTATCCAATTTTTACCCCGTTAAGGCATAATAATCATACGTTTGTAATGCATTGTATGTCTCATAATAGGTTCCATTTTTCTACCCTTTCCCGGAAGTCAATGACTATTCATAGCTATTATTTTGACACCAAAGAATAGTTCAACTCAATACTTTATTTCTATCTTAGTTGATCCTGATTCGACAGTCAAAGTATATTGATTTTTCCCGACTTTCTACTTACCTCTATCAGACCTTGTTATAGGTAGTATTATTGTCCACTCGACATCGATATGTGTGGCTGTGTCACGCCCCGTTTGATATCCAGAGTACCTAAAAGGAATTTACATAAAATACCCAAGTTTCCCTTTAGTCTCCAGTGTGACACATGAAACTACATATTTAGCATAGAAACTAAGATTACAAATAGCAACTGCATTGCTGTATAGAAGGCTGCAAATGTGAAAACACTATCACTGTTGAGGGTCCTTGAAGATCATGGAATGATTATATCATACATTTTTTCTTGAAGATCAGAATGTTTATCCTGATCAAAAACAAGCACCAACTTGATCTAACAGAACTACGTGCAGAACTCAAATGAAAGCCGATGATCCATCAGAAATTGATCAGGAAATCCATCAGATGTCATTACTTACGATAAGTAAAAACAGATATAGCATATGTTGTCGTAAATAATCTATCTGCTGCATGAAACATTCATCTCAAAGAGAGCAACGAGTGGTGGCAAGCAACTCAGGAATATGGCTAGGCAAAAAAATTTGCCACTACAGAAATACAAAGTAAAAAACAGACGAAAACTCAGAGACAACCTTTGGAAACTATCTTTTGAAAGAATTGTTTAAAGCATGAGAACAATCATGTGATATACACAGTTGAAATGATAATGTTTAAGTAATACCATGGATTAGCACCATCCACTGAAATGATGACAAATGAAAGAGGGAAGGGGGAGGGGGGGGGGGGTTCATAGGTCCCAGATGTTTTGTCCTCAGGATTATAGTAACGCCCAAAGTCTTATGACAATCTGTAAGCAAGCAACAATAACGTACAATGTTTGATTTCAGAGTCCGATGGCAGCAGTATCAGTTATTCCCAGTTCTATACAGATTGGATTCAGCCCAGTTTCTCCCAACATGCTAAATGCAGTAAATCCGTAGTAGGAGTGGTAAAGATCTGGCAGATGCTTTGGGAATTTACTGAAGCCACCATACTGGCACAGGAACAAATCAAGGAACGGAGTCAGAAACTCGAAGACACCCTTGGATGTAATCTAGCATATACTACAAGTGTAGGTAGGCAAAGCATATCAGTAGGATAGCAATAAAAATGGGACCTTTACATAAAGAAGATTTCAATATTTTAAGCATCAACCTTTTGCCTTCAAATTGAAAATTGGAATGTAAATGATTCTGTAAGATTGCAGTTTTTCATCTCTTCTCCATAGGTATCTAGGAGAACATATGAAACATACAAGTGATCCAATCACTAGGTATGTTAAATCTATCCTACTCTTAGGTTCCAAAAAACTTTCATGCACCAATCCACCCCAATCATCCATCCAAGAGAAGGGTCCCCATCACCAAATCAATCTTTGTCTGCATTCCTGCATGCATATGTGTGTTCTTATGCACATTTGAGTCATGATCTATTAGAGTGACACCCTGTCCCCCAAATAAAATGAAAAGGTACCAATAGCAATTCTTAATGGGATGAAAACTACCGTGTATTGTCCAAAAATAGAAACCTCAAATTTAACATCATCAACTTGATCATAGAATACGACGATCATAGACCACAGAAGCAGAAAGGAATAGCAGTGGCACCTTGGACTGGCAAGTTAACAAAAATCCACATAAAGCCTTCTCATCAATTAATTTGTAGCCCCCTAACATCCTCAAAACTCCTCCAACCCTATAGAAGCACATATACCATATGAAGCCAAGATGTATGTAATCCAGCACATTAAACGTCTATAGTGACCTTGAACTTACCAAAAAGCATAACATGTGTCACTAGACTTATTGGGTCTACCTTGAAACCCACCATCAGCTGCCTGCCTCTGCAATGGGGAAAAGAAGAGGGAATGAACTTGCACATTAAGCAAAGCAAATTCCTAGATTACCGCAACCGCAAACATGGCAATCATTCTTTCAAAAAAGAATGATTATGGAGATGCGTTGCATCAATAATATTGTTTGCTCAAGCCTTTATTTCTGACCGTTGTTCAAAAGATAGGGGGATCTGAGCACAGTAGAAAACAAACCTGCAAGCTCCAATCCAGAAGCATTGGCACATTTATGATACAAGATGTTTCACTTTTTGACAATAGATCATCTTCAATGAAACCCATCAAACGGAGAGACGCAACAGCACAATAAGTTGCACCACCTGTGCCACTAAAGCAAATATCGTCTGTAATATCGCAATAAAATTCAGCTCTAAACTACATGAATCTGGAATATGATACTGAATCTTGCATATTTCTTTCCCCTTCAGGTAACAAAAAACATGCTCGGACAAACAGACTCACCAATAAATGTTACTGGGAAAAGTGATATTTCGTGAAGAAAAACAAAGAAACAAAGGTCAAAAAATATTTTCCAAATAATCTCAAACACCTCCAGGATAAGTCACACAGTTCATTTTTGGAAACGGAAAACCCACTCCATGTCCAGCTGGTCACCACACTATGGGTTAGCCGTCAAAGAAACACACACAACTAGGACAAACCACTTTACAGTCAGTTCATCCACTAAACTTTATTCCTACCAAAGGAATGCATGAAAGCAACAAGAAACATCAACTGATAAGCAGAATTTCTCTGTTAATTTGTTTGCCAACCCATATTAGCATTAGCAAAGTAATTCAGCTCAAGCTCAGCAAAAAATAATATACACAATAATTCTGCTCAACTACAGTAGGATCTTCTGGTTTGCATTTGTAAACTTCTTGTCATCAGTTCACAAAACAACCTAGCCAGTGGGAGTAAAGCAAGCAAACACACTCGGAGCTAAATGGTCAGAAATATCAGTTCGCAAAACAATCTACATGGTGGAGTCTCTTAAAAGTTGCACTGGGGACTGGAATTTGATCCCACCTTCATCAGAGTGAAGGTTTCTTGGATTGATCCAGGGCTACCCCCACCTCCTCCTTCAAAAAATACAAAAGAACCCCACTCACAAAAAAAAAAAAAAAAAAAAAAAGGGATTCAAAATTAATATCAACTCACCATGAGGTTCTGATCCAGGAATCAAACCAAAGCCACCATCATATGACTGCAAGGGCAACATCACTTGTAAGCAGATGACAAACTATTGGCTGTAAGAAACATGCATGGGAAAGATTGCTTGCTTAGGAAGAATGGACGTGAATATGCAATATGGAAATGATATGATACTTATGTGACCATACAACCAGAATTTAAAACAAGGATATGGATAAGATAAAGATACGTCAGTAAATATATATTTTTATGTTTGATGATTTATAAGATGTATAATTGAAATAACTAACATTCATGCAGGTAAAACTATTTTATTTTACAATAGAGTGCATACATACATATAGATATGTGTATGTATTCAACAAATCCTTTAAAAGAATAACATAAACGTCATTATCCAGGGGTTCCATTTGACAACTTATCTAAAACAACAACTATATGACAATCCATCCAAGATATTCAAGTAGTTCTCTTGCTTCACTTCCTACATGTGACAAAAACTTAAATTTGAAAGTAATATATTGTTATAATAAAAGCATGTTCAATAACATACTGAATAGATAAGGCCTTTTAAAGTCGAAATTATATTTTTCTCTTGCACTAATATTCCCATTTTTTGGGCCCAAACAAATATTAGTTTCATTCACTTCAATAATCCATTTAAAAAACAAGTATCCTCAACTTAACGGTCATGTATCCTTGTGTATCCTTTGGGATACGTATCCTTATTTTTAAGATATCTAAGACATATGCTTATAAGTGTCTGTATTTGATACATATCAGATACGGATACTCTGGCCTTGATGAAGTATCCATGCTTCACAGTTTCCCAGCACGTCGCTGCAAAAGGAAGGCAACACAAAAGAAGACTGTAAAAGAGTCGAGCACATGTTCCACTAACCTGGCAGTTCAATATGTATTCCTTCGTTTTCTCTCTATCCATGCCATTCCAGTTCCCCAACATTGAACAGATGGCCACTGAAAAATCAAGGAGTTACACTGACCTCTCAACCAATGTAAATCCAAATTTACATCTTATATTAATGGGATCTTTCTTCTTACCTGCACAAAATACGAATCGAAGATCTCTCTCTGCCCCTGTATGGGTGGGCATAAAACTGGGACATACAGGAACAAGAGAAGTCAGGGAATCACCTTTGTTTGTGTTAACCTATTGGCTGGTGAATAAGAATTGAGCAAGGAGATAAACCAAAATTATTACTGACAAGAGTTATCCTGGAGTGATACAGTAATTTCACGGACAAGAGAGAGAGAGGATGAATTATGGAACTTTAGTTCATTAAACTGGGGCATTGAACAAGTAATTGGCTCAACAGATAGGCCACATCTAGCTTTCGTGTTTGTCCCAATTTTCTACAGGAGGGGGAAGAAGAACAGTTAATGCACAAAAGAACAGGGGACATTGAATTGGAGGCCGTAATGTTTCATGGTATAGAAAACCTTATGGCCCAATATTCAAATGATGGGCCAAAAGACTACTCAAATTAGGATTTTCGTTTTTGGAGGTGATCTGAAAGAACCTGCAGCTTTTTCAGAGTTGGCAATATAAAACAAGTAATTGAAATTGTAATCCAAATTCATGTTCGCTGGTGCTTGTGGTAGGAGAGGAAAAGTTTTTTCTAGGACAAGGACCTTTGCATTTTTAAGTTGACTAATGTCCTTCTACAAACACATGTAAGGAACTTAGTCAGGTGTTCCAGGGAGTCTTTTATCTACGGGTTTTGTTAATTCTATCCCAATCAGTGATTGGTGTGCTTCTATTGAGTTTTGTCCCTCTTTGATTATGTTTCAGAATTCATGTGAGCATGGGCTTAATTCTTCTTGCTAAGAAAATGCCTGCACCCTTCTTTAGGAAGTTATAGTAGAATCAATACAGGAAACATCAGGAGATATAATAATAAGAACTGTAAAGCACATCACAAATTACCTCCCATCAGGCTGTTGAAGGTTTTTCATTGATTTCAGGATTGGTTCAGATTCAATGAGAGACAAGTCATAGCCAACAGTCTTGAATATGGCTAGTGCACAGTATGTGCTTGCCAAGTGACTGCCGTTTGGAATACAACCCTACAAGAAGACAAGAACATACCAGGAAAAGTCCATATCAAGAAACCGTTACGACTAATAAATAAACACGTGACCTTCATTCCCTTGATTACTTGATCAAAATAAAGGAAACATGAGCAGGATATTCAAGGCATTGCATGTTCTCATACCTCATTGTCATTAGATTGAAATTGAGAACTTCTTGAACCATGGAACCCATAGAATTGTCCTGCAGCAAACCAACAGCCAATAATGGCAAATAAGCACATCCTAACTTAAAGCCTTGAAGCCAAGTAACCAATGTAATAAAAGTTTCACGCCTTCTATACATAAGTGCAAACACGTACTGTTGTTCAGCTCAGCCTCATTCTTTGGATGAGCTTGCAATGATAAAACCCAATCAATGACCCCTTCTTTGTCAACCTGATAAATGAATCTAAATTAAACCACATGTCAAAGATAAGGAAATCCTTGAGTTAATCACCAACAGCACATCCACACATCATTTATACTTGCTTTACTTATGATTTAATTTGTATGCATCCCTATTATCAAACTTTATTTGTTTCACCCTTCTTTTAAACAGCTTGATCTTTCCTTCACCACTTGAACATAATGCAAACATGATGAAGTTTCAATCTTGATGCTTTAAACCAATTAAGAAAATCAATGGAAGGACTGACATCTGATTCACAAAGATTCAAAACCAGTAAAAAAACAACTAATTTTTAAACTTAAAAAAAAGCTAATAGTCCAATTTCAATGTGATTGTTGCAAATAATGCATTCCAGCTGACCCTCTATTAAACAAACCCACAATGGCCATAAACCAGCATTGATTTTTAAATGAATCACCACACTACACCACACCCTCGAGCACCCAAAAAGAACAAACATTATATGAGCCAGACGACCTGAGCATTATACTACCCACCAATTCAGCTAAATTATCCAACTTTTCAATATCAAATCTTAATAAAAACCAGCAATTTAGAAAGATACGTACGGAATCTAGGGCACCGAGCAAATCGAGGCCGGAGATAATGAAGTAGACGAGAGTGAGGCGATTGATCTCTTGACCTTGATAATCCGAAGGCAAGAGCTTGTACATCATATGTAGGAAGCGAACATGGCGATCTCTGTCGAACAACTCTGAAGTTGAATCTGATGAGCTGCGGAGTGATTGATCCATTGAAGATGATTCGAATTCTGAGAGAGAGAGAGAGAGAGAGAGAGAGAGTGGTAATGGAGCGTTTGATCGAGTGACAGAGAGAGACTCGATTTGGTGGGTTGATTGTAGGTTGCTTCGCTTGTGAATTGTGATCTGCAATGCAATGGTTTGTTTTGTTGGGTTGACTCGTGAGATCTGACTTTAACGGTTTCGCCGGTTGGGCTGCGTTTAATTAGCCAAAAAAATGTAAAAAAAAAAATTAAAAATAGTTTTTTGTTGCAAGAAATGTTTTTTTTTTTCCAACGGTCTGTGTTCGAATATATTTTTTTCTTAGCATTTAGATTTCATTAGCATTACTTAACTCAAATATGTAAAAAGATAAATTACAGCAATCTCCCTTGAGGTTTATCCAAATAACAACTAAACCCTTGAGATATGAATAATTACACTGACCTCCCTTGTCACTAACCACCGTCCCAATTTATTAACAGAAACAACCAAATTATGACAATACCCTTGCTGAAAATGTTTCTCTATTGATTAACTATCTATATTAGGAATAACAGTAGATCGGGACCGGGAGGAATAGTCTCCAATCTCATACCCGCTTAAAAAACTTTTGTTCACCCCCGTTAGCTAGGAAAGTTTTATTTCCCGTCCCCACCCCGCGGATAAATTCTTATCCCCATCCCCGCCTTCACCTCTATCATGGTAAAAAAAAAATTCAAACATAAAAGTGATCAAATCTCTGTCGAATTATATATGCATAAATACATATATGTGCAGATCATATATATATATATATATATATATAGCGAGCGTAACGAGGCAGGGGCGAGGAGGGGGTAAGTGTCGGTCCATCCCCGTATAAGTTTATACGAGTATTTTCATATACATTCATTGTTCAATACATGTGTGGTTTATCCCTGATCCAAACGAGATAAATTTGGATGAATCTCCACTTTTTTTCGGTCCACTGTCATCCCTAATCTAGATTTGTATGATCCAATCACACAATGTCATATTAGTAACTAACAGTACAAAAAAATATTCATTCATCATAGTTGATCTATAACAATTTTTACGGTGTAAATATATAACAATTTTATACCAACTGATCTTTAATCCAATGGTATTATTTGTTTTATAAAGATTTTGTTTTCTTGAGATCAATGGTTTAAGTCTCCCTCCTCCTCCTATTTCCCAAAAAAACAAAAATATATATATATATATATATATAACAATTTCATCATGATTGATCATCATAGCAACTTTTCAGCACACAATGAGTCCCTCTCTCTCTGCTTCACGAATCGTTCTCCCACAAACACATACATACACAAACAGATAAAACTTTTACACTACAAAGGCAAATATCAATCAACATCATCCACTGTTGGAGGTAGGGGTGTTCAAATTTTCAATTAGTCGCAGTTTTCTATCCTACCTGACCCTATTCAATACTATTGAACGATTATTAGAAAAAAATCGTCCATGAATGCAAAAAAAATTTAGTCTTCCAATTAAATCGAGTAGAAATGCGAAATGACCATTAATTTTCGTATTTATACCCTACCGTACCCGCATTAATTTATATATATATAAAAACTAAAAACCCTAATTCCCTAACCATATAGTTTAAACTTAAAATAATTGTTATTGTATTTGTGTAACAATTATGATAGATTGATATTATCCTTTCTTGTGTTTTACTATAATTGTTGTTGTAATTGTTTTAGATTTTAGTGTTATTAGTTTATTGTGTTATTAAATTGGTGAATGTTATTGAATTGAATTATTAAAATGATCTAAAAATTAATAACTATAAAAGTGTTCATCTGATTTTCTACTCGACTTCCTACTCAATTAATTTGGCCAGGAGTTGGGTAGGAATGTCACATTTGATCGGATAGGGTAAGTCAAAAAAAAATTCTTCAACAAAGTATCAGGTAGGAAGACTATATTTCCTACCCGTAAGGTAGAGTGAACACCCCTAGTTGGAGGGTTGAGTGGGAGGACTCATGTTCTGCTCGCACAACCATGTGTCAACTCAATCATCGGCCTCTCTTTCGATCGCCACCTAAAACTCACATCGTCCTCCAATTCTAACACCACTCGAAACACATTAGTCAATTACCCAAAAAAAATTAGAACATCAATTCACAAAAATAACAATTAAATTCCTTAATCACCCGATATATAAAACCAAATTCAAAGGATATATTTTGAGAAAAAAATACAAGGATTCATCCAAAAACGAACACCACCTCCAGTTCTTATAAAACATTATCCCCTTCCTCCTCCCTCTAACGCAAATCTCAAAATTAGCTCTTTAATGACATCCCTAAAATCACACCTCCATTGGACCTATAACTTTGAATCGCCCTTCTCCATTGCCTTGTTTGTGCCTCCTACCAAATCAAATAGTTGGGTCACTAGGGCCATAATCTGTATCTGTATGGAGAGAGAAAGAGAGAGAGAGAGAGAGAGAGAGAGAGAGAGAGAGAGGCATGACATAAGAGGGTGGAGGGAGTTAAGAGGCTAGAGGCACAACAAAAGAATTAGTTTAAGGAGAAATAATCTCAAGAGTTTGTTTGGCAACTATTTTGTTTTGTTTCTTGTTAGATCACATTTTGTAATTGGTTAATTTCGTAGAATCTATTGTAAATCTCAACATTTTCTATGGTTATGATGCTTTAAATTGAAGATCTGAAAGCGTCATTGAAGGGAGGAGATCAAGCGTTAATGTAATATCGTTCAATCTCCGTATGCACTTTCATCTTTAAGATAAATGTAATAACCTATACACTTAAAATAAACCCTTAGTTATTTTTAACTTAGGATGATTAGGATAAAAATGGAATTGGAAGTAATCCGTATATGGTTTCTAGGTAATTTCAAAAGAAAAGATTTTCTAAACAATTTGTGTTTTAAAAACATAGTTGAACCTTTATCAGAATCCTCTTGAGCAACATCCATTAGTGCTCAAAATGATTAGTTTTTGCTTGACTTTGTGGTTCAAAAATCGATAGTGACTAATCTATGATGGCTAATCTTGAATAAAGCGATCTCCTTATAACTTAGGGAATTAGACGATAAAAGGCTACAAGGAAACAATATTAAAGCTCACTTGAGTGGTGTTGCTCATGAACAAGATGGAAACATGATTTTCATTCCAAAAAACCAACCGCTCTATGATTGCTCTCCCACAAATTAAACGGTTATTCGCGAATTTGAATTTTCTTATTTACTAAAACTACTCTTATTTCGGACTTATAAATAGGAAGAACATTTTCTCACGGTTAGGTCAAGTCTCTTGTGATATTTTTAAGAGAGAAAATACTTTTTCTACATTGAGAGTTTCTACCACTAATTTATATTCTTAAATTCAAAGGTCACCACTAGAGATTCTACCCAACCTCACAACTTGGTGTTGAAGATCTTGATAGTTTAAACCAAACCTATTGATGTGTGCATATTAAAAATCATTGGCATGCTCACGATTGCTCGAGGTCTAAACGAACTATACGGTGGGGGAGGTCCAAGTGAAGCTACATTGGACGTTGAAATCACCTTTGACTGAGACACAACAAGGAAATGAGCATTTAACCATGACTTGGTTGAGGTATAAGACTCGAGTACTTGTATGTTGATTTAGCGAGTAGTCGATTATACTTTCGTGAACCGAGAAGATTTTCTAAGTTTTTTCCTGATAAGGGTTTTCGTGTCTGTAAATTACTTGTGTTCTTTATTATTTATTGTACATACTTGTGATTGTAAGCACACATTTGCACTATGTGTTTATTGGAATGATTGATTGAATTTCTATCCATACATAGTTGTGCTATTGAGTTTGGAATTTGGGATCGTCATAAGATTTATTGTGAGTGAATTAATTCAAGATTAATTAAAATCATTTGTTATGGTTAATTTGGATTGTGGTGACTAAAGAGATTCTCACATTAATTGTTAAATCTTTATGAAATAAGGTATTTGTGATGGTTTAGATTTTTATTGATAATAAATTGAGTTAAAATTGAAAAATTTATTCACCCACCATTATGTAAAGTGTCTATTACTTTACGTATATAATCACGAAGGAAGATCGAGTTCCCTCTCAAAACATCATTTCTAATGTGAAAAAGCTTTGTTTGAAAACAAGTGCAATTTGTCTATATCTTTGATAAAGGGGCAAAGCAAGAGAGGGAAAAGACAACTAAAGCAGAGAGGGCAGTGCAATGAGGAGGTCTAGTTATTATTTGGACAAATCTCGAGGGTAGTGGATGTAATTTACGTAAAGTTATGACAGTCCTTTTCCACACCAAAAAAAAAAAAAAATCAACTAGACGATTTCCTTGAACCTATAAATTTCCCGCACATACGACACTCTTAATAGCACACACAGGGGCGTGTACCCTAAACCGGTTAACCCTTCAAGAGACTTGATTGAATTCTGCTTGCTCAGGTCAGTCTGGCCTCAGCACAGTAATTTTAACAAGCACCTGTTGTGCAACCCCGAAATCTTGACAAATGATGAAAAGAAGCAAGACAACTGTCTTAACATTTGCCCAAAAATGCAAGGTCTCTCTCTCTCTCCCCATTTTATCTTCAGTTCTGATTGTTAAATCTACTTATATCTTCGTTTTTCAGAATATATTAGCATCAAATTGGCAAGGAAGCCTTCACACCATCAAAGCCGACGCTAAAGGAAGGTGCTCATACACGATTTTATTTTTGTCAATGAATTGAATATTATACGAATGAAAACTAGATCAAACGATTTGTTGTCTGGTTATGTTTTTGATTGTATGTATCTTTTGAATGGTTGTCTTTATAGCAAGGAGGAAATATACAGTTCAAAAGTAAAATACTTTGTGAAGAAGGGGAAGCCGTACATCTGGGTACCCGAAAGGGACTTGCATAATGTGGTATGGTTTCTTTTGCTATGTGTTTATGTTTGAATGGCTTGTTGATTAATGCTGGGGCGTTTGGAGTTTATGGTCGAATGGCTTGTTGGTTTTGGCAATCAATCCCATCATAATACGGAACTTAGTGAAAAAGGAATGCAGATGCTGAACCAAATAGTTCTCCTTTGACTCATGCAATTTGCACCTTAAAGTTTTCACCGTCAACATGGCCAGTAAGAACAAACATTATCGTCAGATTTTATTGTTGGGCCCAAGTTTCAGTTAGTATTAATTTATCGCATGTTGTATTTTACTTATGCTAGTAGTATTTTGTATATTCTGTATAGGGAACCCAAAATTTGGAGATATTTATTTGGGGTAAACCTTGTAGAATTGCTAATGAGTAATCGGCTGCCCGCTATTACCAACTCCATCATGCATTTGAAGCTGCGCATTTGTCACATGATAAACTTGCTCCACCGTTGCCTCTCTTGGTAGATGGACTAATGATATGCTCAATAAACACTCAAAAGTCTATGTTACTGCTGATACAACAAATGCAAGTAATAACAAGGACATAACTACATCAAAGTACTTCACAGTGGCTGAGTATTCTTCAGCTGTTTTTTCCCATGACCTTTAAGATTACATGACTTTTCTCATTGATTAACTGTTTTTTGGGCATACTTATTCAGTGATAAAGAGCCCTTTGATAAACTCTACGTTTAAATGCGAAGCTCATGTATTCACCCATTTTCTTGTGTGTTGTGGCATATAAATTGTAATAAAATTATTCTTGCACCAAGCAGTTGGCTTAATGAAGATGTTTTTCTCTACCAAGAGCACACAAGATGTTCAGGACCAATGATCTATAACCTTCCTTCACTTAAAGTCCATCCCCAGTATTAAAGACTATAGGATAAGAGCTCTGATAAAGGGTGTTCTCTGTTTGGGTTCGTGTATGAGATTTTGTTTCTACTGACTATAGATGCTATCATGCAGCTGCAGATCATTATGTCCTACTACTAGTATTCGTCTCTATCAAGCGTAACCAAGCAGAAGATCTCATCTTCTCTGCTATGCTCAATAATTTTTGGTGAAATTTTGCAGGGTTCTTTCCATAGTTCAAATCATCTTCTATACTTTGCTCAATTACTTCGAGCAAGAAACTTTGCCAGGTTGCTTTTCATAGTTGCTTTTAGCATGGCCACAGAAAATAAGGGATTAATTCCTCAGAGTTTATGTTCTAATAATTCGGATAATTTCTTTTTTCTTTCCTTTTGCCTATTTCACCCCATATTGCTTTGTGTTTTTTTATTGCCATATAACATATGTAAGTGAGATAGGATGCAGTTAAGGTCTAATTGTGCAATCAAAAATGTTTTTGCTGCTGTTGTACCTTCTTAGCTGGTTTGAATAGTCTGTTGGGAAAAGTTTGTGGATAGAAAATCTTTTGAGGCCTTCCTTTTTCTTATGTAGAACACGGTCATTGACGAGCGTGGTTCTTTTGCTGTTACCAGGCCCTTCCCAGGCCCACTCGCGAACTTGCTTAGATCAACAGAAAAGGTTGGTCCTACCGTTTATTTTTGTTTCCTTGATCAGCTGAATGAGGTAGATCTTTCATCTTCTTCTTCTTCTATTTGTAATTTGCCATCCACAATCCATTTGTCTCGCATCGTGGTATCCTCTCTTTCCATTCACCCTCTTCTCTCTCTCTCCCCCAAAACCACAAAAAAAATAAAATAAAGGAAAGCAAGAACGATGAAAAAAGCATTCCACTTTCAATATCACTCCCTCCCCCTTCATAGGGTGCTATGTATGTCTAACTTATACAGCGAATTCTTGTGTAGTTGCACAATATCATATTAATTTAAAAGCATAATCCAAAATTACCAAAACTTGATTTACTTTTATGTTGCAGCTACCAGCTCGTGTTGCTCTGACCGGAGATGTTGTACCTCTTAAAGATGAAAAGGTTAAGTTTCTCGACTATGACTCTCGGTATTTACAAAACCTCTTTTCTCTAAGTGTGAACATATGGTTGTTAGAGTTATTTTCTTTCCGGACGTCTTCTTCGATTTTTTTTCTTGATGATTTCTTGCCTCGGATCTGTTGCTTTGTTGCCAAGTTAAAATAATATTAGGGTTTTGAGAGTAGTGGAAGAAGAAAGAGGAGCACAAAAATAAAGACAGACTAGAAGAATAATGTGTGTTGGCAGTGTTGGCCTACACCTTCTTATTTATAGTAGAAAATATTTGGGGTGATTACAATATTACCCTACACTCCCTTATTATGACTAATTCATAAAATAAGAACTCTAACATGGTTCTATTCTTGGCTTGATCATATCCAAATTGCTTTGTTTAGATTTTGCAAAAAACACTTGTATTTATTAGTTTTGCCTATAACAACACTTCAATTGATGCCACATTGAAGTGGACCATTCTCGTTTTTATTGGGCATAATGAGTTATGCAACTCAAAATTCTTAAGAATTCTACTCGTCAATAGTATACCTCATGATTATAAATCTGGATGCGCCATGTTTCACATCCTTCTGCCTTGTTACTTTCCCATTCCAATAATTTGGCATTGTAGTTGATTGCTTGTTTGGAAGGACATCTTCCTAAACTGGTTAAAACTGATTTGTTAGCTTCACTTTCCCAAATTTGCTATAGAGTGTGAACAAAGGCTAAGGATAGTTGCAATGTATATTTGAAAGCTATAAAATGGTGTTAAATTCAACATTTTGTTCTTTATTTTATGTACCTCTATCATTGACGTGATTTTTCTAGGAGAAAATTTACCTATTTTCTTTGTCTAGACTCTGCAGTTACAGTCTAGGATCCCATTTTTTTTTTGTTGGGATTGGACACTCCAGAGTTTCATAACCTCATTTTGAAGTACTCTCTTAGATGACACTTTCAAATTATTTTGTTAGCTCAAGCATCAAGTATTCTACATTACTTTTTCTTGTCCTTGTTACAGGCTAAGTTAGCTGCAGAAAGCCTTAGAGAAATAGTACTATCAGAACAGCGAGCAATTAAAGAGTCTAGTTATTCAGTTTCTGGTGTATTAACTTCGTCTAGTCTTGGTTCTACATCTCGAAGTGAAAACCTTCAGGAGCTGCTAGATAGCGACAAACGATATGTGGTGTATAAGTTTAATCTAAGGTAAGAAACACTTCTGTTCTTTTCAGCTTGTACTGTTATATAACAGCATATTCAACAATATAAAATCTAGGGCAAAGTTGATCTCATCTACAAAGAGTGAATTGGCATTTTATAGATTTCTACTTAAAAAATGGGGTCATTTCTTGATACTGTGATAAAAATGTGGGACTAACAACAGTGAGGTTGTGGGATCAAATTTGACGACAACCACTTTGTGCAAATAATGCCAAAGTTGGGTTTGTAAGCAGTCCACCCCTCCTAGCAACTTTATTTAATTGGGCCGAAATGGTGTAATTACTGTGTTAAGTTTTTTGATCATATGTAAAATTTTTAGCTGGTAGTGGATTCTCTTTAATTGGTTTTACGCACTGGATGAAACTGTTGGTGAATATAAGTGTTTTGTGGTCTGAAGACTATCATGGGAAACAACATTAAGCAATCGTTGATTTTAAAGTGAAATTTGTCAAATTGATAACTCATCATTGGTTGATCTGGTCAATTATATTTTTCATGGATCCTAAATCATGTTTCATGTGTTGGCTAGATAAGATAGATGGGTCTTGTGAATTTCTATACTCAAAAAACAAGAATAAGAACTTCCCATTGCAAATGTACATCTGATACAAGCTATCCACTGCACAGCTCATGCATGTACCTTGATGGTAATGGAGACAGTCATGAAGTAGATTTGGAGGATATCGAGGCATCCAAGGCAGATCCTTTATGTAAGATCTCTTTTATTTGTTCATTTGAGCAGTGATGACCATGCTATTTCTTCCTTTACAGAAGTAATATATTTCTGTGTATGACTATGTTTCTTATATTTCTTTTACCATGTATTTGTGTTGTGTAGCACCTTTTTCTACAAGCCTGATTGATGGGATTAATCAAAGTGAAGTGAGGCGTAGGGCTTTAATTCTTTTCTGCATCACATACTTGAATAATCATGCAAAGGTAAGATATCATTTCAGGAATTCTGATAAAAAATAAAGTAACTGCTGATAGAAATGTTAAACTATTCTATAAATTACTATGGATACCGTCGTATTATCTTTAGTTAAGGAGGGGTATAAAGGAGAAAACAAATTTCTTTGTAGCTTTTTCACTGATAAATTATTCTCTCGTACATGATAGTCTTTCTTATTCGCAGAATTTATCTTGCCAATTCGCTATTCTTATGCTCAGGCATAATGTTGCTGATTTTCATATGGTGGATTTGATATCACTGAAGAACTTGAGGGTGTCCCGATGTAGTGAATAATGTTGGTTGGACTTTTGAGCTTGGAGGGTCTCATGTAGCAGGGATTATTGAAAAGTGATACATGCAACTAACCCTGTCTCACGTAATGAACTACAGCATATTGATAAAGTGGCATATGTAGTCATTGATAAAAACTACTAGGACATGTGTTAATCTAACAAAAGAGGGCGGTCTAGTGCACAAGACTCTCGCCACGGGGGTCATTTCTGAATCTAATAACCCCAGGGAACAAAAGTCACTTTTTTCTCAGTTGAAATTTGAAGAATAAAAATTTTGAAAAAAACTTTGGTTTCTGATGGTTTGCTAAGGTAGGTAGGAGTCAGCCTAAGATCATCGTTATTCAGCCAGTCTATATGTGTCTCTGTGTCTGTATGCACACACACACACACACACACACAGAGTAGGTGGTTAGACAATGATGGTTGCCTGTCCCTTGTTAAGTTATCATGAGCATGCAAGAAACGCACCCTCTTCTTCCCCTCATATGCTTGCTTTCAGAAAACAAACAGATTTGAGCCTGTCAGGTTGTTAGAGAGCTCCTGCAGTGGTAAGTTTTTCCATAGCTCCTGCAGCTCGTCCTTCTTGGGCACACAGATTAGCATAGTTACTTTTAGATAAGAGACGCAGATTGCTAATTTCACCTTCCGTTGAAATAAGTTCATGGACCAGGAAAATGCAATTTTAGATTTGTTTACAGAGGCCACGAACAAGACCTTAATATCTGGGTTCAGTACATCTTTGATCAGATCTTGCCAAAATCTCCTTACTACCTGACATGGACTTTGAAAGCATGAGACTCTGGTCCTTCAGACTCCTGGCTTATTTTTCCACTCACCGTTGCATCTTAGTCACCTGATGTTGTACATGAATTATTCATACTTTGCTGCCTTTCCATGTTATTGACATGATTACTGCTACTTACATATTGAATTTTGGTGAGCCATAAGCTTTAAAGGATTTGGACAATTATCACCAAGAATTTTTTAGTAGTTCCGTATGTATCTAAAGTGATATCCTACCGCCATGATCAATTTAGTTTTTTTTTTTCTTCCTGAATTCTCCTCTTTCAAAATGATTATTACAGATGTAACGATTGTTGTCTTTATGTGAAGGATGCGTTTATGCTTTCCGTAGATAGAAAGGGATTTGATGTGCTAGGAAAAGTTCTAGGTCCAGTGAAGAATGATGGCTCTCGTGAATACCATTGGAAGGAGTTCAGAATCGCGTTCAAAGAAGAGGCACAAGATGTTGAAACATTTTGTCTTCGGCTTGTGGAAATGGAAGAAGCTGCCCTCAAGAAAGTATCAAGTTTTAGTGGTATATAACAGAAGTAATCAGAGGGACTAGTTCAAACTGCAGGGGCAAGGCACAAGGAAGAGGGAGGGGGCAAGCATAATCAACCAAGAAGTGGGGATCCTGTGGTTGCATTTGATCAATACTTCCGCCAAAGTCATTCATCAGGTGAGGTTAAGAAGATTGAATGGATGTGACTACAATCAGTCGATTCTTTTGCGCTCCAACTCAACTGGCTTTCGTGGCAGTTGGGAAGCCACTATTGACTCTAAATTAGTTAGAACAATCTAGTTTTTGGTTCAGGAACTAAAGGGTTCGTTTGTTTAGTAGGAGAATAATAGAAAATGCAAGAAAGAGAAAATTTTTAAAATTTTTATGTGTTTGGTTAGCATGAAAAGGAAAATGATGGAAAAAATAATTTTTTTTCATGCTTGAATTTTCTCACAAATAACCAATTTTTTTTTTTTTGTAAAAACAAAAGGAAATACAAGAAAGTTGTGATCTATAACTAACTTCTTATTTTACCTTTGTTTTTCTTAAAATATTTAATTGGTTATTAATTTTAAAAAATTTTGGTATGAATTTGATTAATCGCAAGTTGAATTTTCAACTTATAAAAACACAATAACGATTAAGGTTGATTTAAGTTTTATTCATTTTAATCCAATTGTATAAAATTTATTCTAAATTTTTTTTTCTCTCAAAAATATTATTTTTATTACACAATCTTTAATGTTAGACAATTACGTCAATTCACACACACACACACACACATATATATATATATATATATATATATATATCTTCTTTTTTTTCTAATCTTTTTTATTGTGTTTTTGTTCATTTAATTATAAATTACATGATTAAAGAATTTTTTTTATAAAAATTGGACAATAAATATTTACTTTATTAATTTTTAGTATTGAAAAGCGACATAAAAATAAAATGGGAGGCATTTAAGAGCCACACCCGCACTAGAATCTCATAATAACGCCTCGTGCGGTGCGTGGAAGTTTAGTTGTGTGGTGGTATTTGAATGCCTTTCTGCTAAAGCTGAAAACTGCCTTTTGATTCAAACCACATGTTCTTGATACTGTTTGGGTCGGGAAAAAAAGAGAGAAAATAGAGAAGAGTAACAAGAAAATAAGGAGGGACTTCCAATATTAGTCAATTACCCAAAACTAAGTAGTGTTAACACAGCCAACTCTGCCCAAAGACAATTCCAATCCAATTGAGAACAAAATAACAGGCTTTCTAATGCCTTATCAACTGATAGAAGTTACCACATAAGATGAAAAACCATAGTAAAATCTAACTGATGATGTGTATTACACAATTGAACAGAGTGGGGTATATAAGGTGTACTGATGAGGTCAGTCTGTGTTTGAAGACTCTTGGGAATAAGGATTTTGGAAAAAAGAAATCAATCACAGAAGAATTATAATAGTTCACCAGTTTGGGAGCTTGACTAATTCACTTTTAAATGAAGTCTCTTGCTCTTGGGGGATATATTGATAGTGGAAAAGGGATTACACAGTGTTTTGAGTAAACTTCTATTGCTTGCCCCCTAGCAAGGGTTTTGTACAATATTTATAGCTAATTCTATGCTTAGCCAGATCTAAGGCAAGATCTTTGCATCTCTCTTGTAACGGTTTGCTTGATTTGTGCAACAGTTGTGCGGTGTGATGGGACAGTTGCGAGTTTGGTGCCTGGACTGGCGTCTGCTACCACTGAGGAGGCGCTTGGGGGTTACCAGCTATCTTCCACTCCATCTCCTTTGAGGTGTGGGTTGAAGGAGCTCAAGGTCTGGAACTCGAGCTCCAGGTCTGGAACTCGAGCTCAGGTCTTTATGTGAATAACCGGACTCAACATTTGGTATTTTTCTAGGTACCATCACTAACTGAAAAACTGAATATGAAACCAAAAATCTTTCAAAATTCTCACGACCACCATCGCTAGACACAGCTTTAGTCGACTTCCTCAATCTTGAGACCTGCACCACTAGCACTTGCTGATGAAGGAGCATCATCGTCCATGCCACCGGCCATGTCGGGGCCACCTTCACCCTGGTACATTTTTGCAATGATAGGGCTGCAGACACTCTCGAGCTCCTTCATTTTGTCCTCAATTCATCTGCCTCGTCAAGCTGATTGCTGTCCTGCCACTGAATTGCTTCCTCAATGGCATCTTCGATCTTCTCCTTGTCAGCTGCTGGGAGCTTGTAACTGATCTTGTCATCTTTGATGGTGTTTCTCATATTGTAGGCATAGTTTTCCAACACGTTCTTGGCTTCCACCTTCTTCTTGTGCTCCTCATCCTCGGACTTGTACTTCTCGGCCTCCTGCACTATCTTCTCTATCTCTTCCTTGGAGAGTCTTCCCATGTCATTGGTGATTGTGATCTTGTTCTTTTGGCCAGTGGTCTTATCCTCGGCAGAGACATTCAATACACCATTTGCATCAATGTCGAAACAGACAGTGATCTGGGGGACGCCTCGGGGAGCAGGGGGAATGCCAGAACTTACCAAGCAAGTTGTTGTCCCTTGTTCTTGTCCTCTCACCCTCATACACTTGAATCAACACTCCAGGCTGATTGTCCGAATATGTAGAGAACACCTGCTCCTTCTTGGTCGGTATAGTGGTGTTTCTTTGAATCAAAACAGTCATTACACCTCCAGCAGTCTCCAAACCAAGAGACAGAGGAGTAACAACCAAGAGCAATAGGTCCTGAACCTTCTCATTACCCTCACCACTCAAAATAGCAGCTTGAACTGCAGCCCCATAGGCAACGACTTCATCTGGATTAATGCTCTTGCAAAGCTCCTTCCCGTTAAAGAAGTCCTGCAGAAGTTGCTGCACCTTGGGAATTCTGGTAGACCTACCAACAAGAACCACGTCATGGACAGTGCTCTTGTCCATCTTGGCATCCCTCAAACACTTCTCAACAGGCTCCATACATTTCCTGAAGAGATCCATGTTAAGCTCCTCAAATCTGGCACGGGTAATGGTTGAGTAAAAATCAACACCCTCAAACAAAGAATCAATCTCAATGGTGGTCTGAGCAGTGGATGAGAGGGTCCTCTCAGCCCTCTCACAAGAAGTCCTCAACCTCCTCAGAGCTCTGGGGTTTCCACTGATGTCCTTCTTCTGCTTCCTCTTGAACTCCTGAACAAAATGGTTCACCATTCTGTTATCAAAATCCTCACCTCCAAGGTGAGTATCACCAGCAGTGGCCTTCACTTCAAAAATACCCTCTTCAATTGTAAGAAGAGAGACATCAAAAGTACCACCACCCAGATAAAAAATAAGCACATTCTTTTCACCAACGCTAGTAGCCTTCTTGTTCAAACCATAAGCATTGGCAGCAGCAGTTGGCTCATTGATTATTCGCATGACATTGAGGCTAGAAATGACTCTTGTTAATCCATCTTCTTAAACCCACCCTCCCTTAGGTTTGATGAAATCCATGATCATGAGTTTAATATCCGGACTAGCTACAAACCGAGTTTGAAAACCTGATATTAAATTTATAATTCAAACATTGGGTTTGAGGGTCTTCCCAAATCCAGCTTTCCGACTCTTCCCATACCACCCATACTAAACAGCCGCTTGTAGCCTGACGCTGAGAGTCATTGAAGTAGGCTGGGACAGTGACCAGAGTGTTCTTCACTGTCGATCCAAGGGCGGCCTCGGCAATCTCTTTCATCTTTGTGAGGACCATGGAGGAGATCTCTTCCGCAGCAAACTGCTTGTCCTCACCTTTGTAGTTGACCACAATCATGGGTTTGTCGCCAGGACCAGGAATGACCTTGAATGGCCAGAGTTTCATGTCACCTTGTACAGATGCATCACTGAATCTCCTACTAATCAATCGCTTTGCATCTGCGATAAAATAGCAGATTCCATGTTTCAGTTATCTAAAAACCAATATCGTCGTTAATTTAACAATATTATTTAGAGGTGGCAATCTTAAAACATTATCCATTAATCTGTTCAACTTGTCCATAAATAAATTGGTTGAGTACCTATATTAATTAATATGAGTTCTAAATGAGTTGAGGAATATGTTTTATTTTAATTAAACGGGTTAATATGGATTATAAAATGAGTATCCATTGGGTTGAATATTTATTTTTATTAAATAACACAAGTAATAAAATTAAATAAATATATTAATATACAAAAAAATACACACACTATTACACTAAAAAATACACACATATACACCAAAACATACACACTGTAGTACACAAAAAACACACACTAGCACACCAAAAACGCACACACTAATACACCATTCATGACCCATGGGTCGACCCCTAACCCATGTGTCAACCCATGACCCACAACCCACAGACTAACTCATGGCCCATAATTGACCCCGACCCATTATGTGTTTATTTTTTTTATTAAATATAATTTAGCTTTTGTATTAGTATGTGTGTGTATATTTTTTGGTGTATTAGTGTATATTTTAGTGTAGTAGTGTGGATATTTTTAATGTATTAGTTTGTGTGTGTTTTGGTGTATTGGTGTATTTGTGTATATTTATATTTTGATGTATTACTAATGTGTGTATTTTGGTGTACTAATGTGTATATTAAAATTTTTAATTATTTTATGAGTTTATCGGTTTAACGCAATCCGTTATAAGTTCAACCTATTATAATCCATTTACTAGGTGAGTGAAAAATGAATTTGATTTATTTTAACCCAATCCAATTTAACCCAACCTATAACCACCCCCACTCTCTTGCCACCCCTAATACTGTCCATCGCAATTTCCAGGTACAAACCATAGAAACAAGGCACCTAAAAAACCAAAACATTCCCTGTATATTTCTTTAATATAAGAGACACAATTTTCAAGAAAAACGAACACAACAAAACTTAAACAATTATTCGTTTTTGGATTCATCGAAAAGAATGGAGTATAAGAAACTGAATCTAGGATTTTGTTAAATGCGAAAGAATTATAGGATTTTGTTGAATCTAGTAGTTGCATAGGACATTCTGGAATGTTCAAGGGTCTATTAGACCGTTAATGATACATGTGATCTAACGGTTTTAAGTTTTTTGGAATGCTTTGGGAATTATTTTAAACCGTTGATTATACATGTGATCAAATGGTTTGGAGTTTAAATAGGCATCCGATCCATTAGATCACATTTATAATCAACGGTATAAAATAGTCCTAGAACATTCTAGAAAACTTAAAACCGTTAAATTACATGTATCATCAACAGTCTAAAATAGTCCCCACCGTTAATGATACATGTGATCTAACGGTTTTGAATTTTTTGGAATATTTTGAGAATTATTTTAAACCGTTGATTATACATTTAATCTAATAGTTTGGAGTTTCAAAAAGGCATATTTCCGAATCATTAGATCATGTGATAATCAACGGTTTAAAATAATCCCTAGAACATTCCAAAAAACTCAAAATCGTTAGATCACATGTATCACGCTATTCGTGCTACATAATTTTATTTTTTGGATATTGATCAAATAATTTTTATGAAACTATATTATTATATCAATAAAATAAATTAAATTTTTAAATACAAATAATATTACTCATAATATATCGGGGTGTTTGTCACCGGTTGGCCCATATACGAATATTCAGAGCCACCCGCACACTATTTTGACCAAACTACAAAGTGTCCTGCTGCATCCTCTCTCCTCCGAGTAGCCCCCAAAGAATTGGATTTTCACTAGTCCAAATTCGAATATAATTTTAATCATTTGATCCCAATTGATAATTTGACGAATCTTATTTTGTGGATCATATTCTAATTTCTAAACAATTCAAAAATTCGATTTGATTCAATTTAAATAACTTAATTAGCTAAATTTTAATAAATTATACTTAAATTTTTAACTAAACTCCTCTAAATAATCACATATTTTTTTTAATATTTATATATAAATAATTTGGATGGAATTGGGTATAAATATATCCAAACTTGAATTCGTAAAATATAAGATATCATATTTAAATTCATGTATGTTTAATTGTACAAAAATATCCATCCATTTCCAACTAATCATATTCAAATTCGGATTAAAATCTGATCTATTGACATGTCTACCTCCGTGGTTTTTTTAATTGTACTCTTAGATTAAAATTTTCACATTGTACCTTTAATGTATCAAAAAAGTTATAATATAATCTTTTTGTTTATTTTATTTTTCTGTCAGTGTCTATGGGTTAGATTTTAACGAAAAAAATAACAAAAATTAATAGAATAATCATATTGTAACACTTATGATATATTAAAAGTATAATAAGAGATATCTAATCTTTAAAAATATAACATAAAAAACTTAAAATCTTTCTTAATATAAATCGAGAAAAACCAAAATATTAATTGCCTAAATTCCAAGTGGGGGCAATAGAATCTCTTAATAACGCCTCGTGCGGTGCGTGAAAGTTCAGTTGTGCGGTGGTATTTGCATAAATGCCTTTCTTGTAAAGTTGAAAACTGTCTTTTGACTCAAACCACTTGTTCTTGATACTGTTTGGGTCGGGAGAAAAAGGAAGAAAATAGAGAAGTGTAACAAGAAAATAGGGAGGGACTTCCGATATTAGTTGCATGGGAGATTTTCTGCAACAGATTGAGATCGCAATCTATTGTTTGGCAAACCTGCAACAATCACAGGATTAGAAAAAGGGGCCGGGTGAACACCCAGTTTATCTCCTCTGAAGCTTAAGTCAGTATCCGATTGGAGGCTTGAGCACAATGTATATGTATTTTGATTTAATGTTGTGTACCTTTGTTTATTTCTCTGAAGAGTATTCATACCTGGAATAGTAATAAATACAAAGGCCTCAAGTCTCATCTGAACATTCAATGTCTAACATTCTTACCCACGAAGATTTGAATGTTCTCCACCCAGATCTTCACATATTTAATGCTAGGATGATAGGACAAGTGTTCGGGGACACGTCGATCAGTTATGGCTATTCTCGAGCACTCAAGTGTCTATGATCGACGCCTGACACCTACTACTGAGCGTTCAATGCTCGGGGCGCACTAAAGAGGCATTCTCAGCATATCAGTCATTAATGTCTAACCATCATGACTGCAGACTTAGGATTTTGAGGGTGTAGAGGCTCATTAATGGTACTGTCTCCGTCACTTATATCGCCATAAATGAGTAGTCAAGTCGCATTAAATGCGGGTGTCAGCTTGTGTACTCAACTCCTCCGAGCCGTCATCTCTCGGCTCCATTCTTCGACGTCTTTTGGACTCCATAACAGCTACAATTTTACATGTGTCGATCTGGGGGCTTCTGAGCCGCCTAGAGTCCAGCCAACTGCCCCCCAACCTCTATTTTTTTTTTTTGCGGCGTGGGATAGGTGGCGCAAGGAGATTGGAGGCTTACCAAACACGCCTCATTAATAGGGACGGTTACTTGCACATCCGGCACCGCCCTTTTCAAATCCCCTAATGATGACCCGTCTTTTCGATTCCTGCTCTTTCCAATATGGTATAAATAGGAGATGCTTGAGCTATTTCAAAACTTTTGCACTATGAATTCTCTTTCAGCGATCAACTCCCGAGCGTCCTTCTTTCATCCTCCGAGTTCCCTCTCTCAAGATTCTTTACTTGTAAGTACTTCCTTCCATTCGAGTCCGTTTCTCATTTCTTCTACATTTTTTTTATACTTTTCTTTAGAACCCACCAATGGCTAGAACCCGTAGGATAGTTGAAGGAGTACCTGCCAAGGCTAGGGCTAACTGTAAATAAAGGAGAATCGAGGTCACTGATGAAAACATCAATGCCTTTAGGGCTAGATACCGAATCCCTGAGCCTTTCTTCACCTTTACCTTCAATTCTCTTTACCATAGAAGGGACGTATGAAGTGTAGACATGATGCCCTTCTGGACGAATGCCATCATGGAAGGGGGGTTGACCTTTTCCCTTCACCCCTTGTTGCTGAAGATGTTGATGTAGCTGAGATTGTTTCCTCTACAGTATGGTGTGAATTTTTTTAAGATAGTGATGGGCATGGTTGCCCTGAACGCTCGGCTAGGGGTGAACCTGGGGGTAGATAAAATTTTATTTTGCTACGACTTAAGGCTTGTCGTAGGGGACAGGTATTACCTCCAGACCCGAGACACTTCATTGTACTTGGTGACTCACATGCCTGACTCGGACAAAAGATATGTGGACGATCTAATCATGCTCAGCAAGAGTTGGGAGAAAGGAGAAGGGCTCGAGTATGATGGATTGTACTGCCCTAAAGTGCCGAGAGATGAAGGTGTTTTGCACATATCCTAGCAATTGTTCAGCACCTTTTCATCATCCTTACTAACCTTGTTTGTTTACTTTTGTCGAGGGTTATCGGCGTGACGCTACTTAGCCTCTAAAGTTCGAAGT